AATTTCTGCTTGAAAAATCTTTGTGCATCAGTGTGAAATATAAATTCACTTGTCAGCAAGCTGTGTCAGAGCAGATTTCTTGTCATATTTGGCCACAGAGCAGAGATTTATTGAAAATTCTTGATGATATCGCTTTCTGAGTTATTTTACATAAACTTAGCAGTGCATCGAATGCTTTGAACTATAGTGTGAATAAGAGAAAGAGAGATAGAGACACAGACAGAGAAAGTGTGAATGTATATGTATCTGTGTTTCTGGCTTTAAAAACTGACATGTAGCAGGAAAATACTAAAAGGCATTTCAATACATTGTGTTGTATCCATCTTACTTTAGAATGATTATTTCTGCAACTACTGTGTTATAAGTAGGTATAGACTTCTGTGCCCTTTTAGAAATGAATCATGAAGCCAAATACTTCAGAACCGAATCTTTGGAATACAGACTATTCTATATCAGGGAGAAGAACAATGGGAATTATTGAAATGCAGAAACATACAGTAGATTTATTATTTTTAAAAGAATTATTATTTGCAAGTCATTTGTACCCAGGTCAGTAGGACAATGCAAAACTCTTAGAAAGGAAAATTTCTTTCTTCAGTAATAAAAGACTTGGAATTGCAATATAAATTTAGTCTCTTGGGTTCTCTCAGCTTTCTGACTTTATATTCTGAGGTTTGCCAAATTATTTTTTGTTTCTCCATTCAAATTTATTCAGCTCTGACCAAGAGATATGTATGAAATTATTTTTCTAAGTGTATTATAAGATATTGGTTAAGTTCAAATAATAATATTGATAAAGAAATGTGCACAGTTTGTGGAGTGAGTATCTTCTATGTATTTAAGGGAAACTATCATTGTCGCATTTATTTATGGGTAAAAATTTTCAACACAGGGATAGCTTTACAATCTGGCAATCAACATTAATGACTATGGAGTGATCCCGTCTGATCAGTAGGATGGATGATAACTTTAAATTGACTACCTGGGAGACTGAGAGTTTAAGTTTTCTGAATATGTTATTGTATGGTTCTTATTTACAAATGTATTCAAGTCTATTATTACTACTATTATTACTATAGTAACTATACACTGCAGGAAACTAAATAATACATCAAACCACTTAAAAAGTCTCCAGTGGGTTGAAATGACAGATTTCCTAATATTACTTCTAGAAAATACTTCTTATTAAATCATTTGAAAAATATGAAGTATCTCTAGCAGTGTAGTGTGAGAGACACAAAGGTTACAGAATTATAACCTCTTTCTTTAAGGAATTTATCATCATTTTAGCTAATATCTGGCTTGAATCTGTGATTGTTTTTACAGTTTTCTCTGTCATTTTTTTCTTTTTATTCTGTTGGCGTCTGTTCCTATGTTTGTATATCCCCAATTTACTCTCTATAAAATATCTTTATAAGACATTGCGTTGTATACCACTTATTCTCAAATTTTTATTTAATTCTTACAAAACTAATTTTGATAACTTTGTTCACCTGAAACATTTTGAATTTAATATTTAAAAGAGTTTGTTATAAATATCTGTGAAAGAAGTATTTTTTTCATATACCACTCTCTTAAATAGATCCAAATGCATAAAAATAATTATATCGATTTGATACTCACCATCATCAATTTACAGAATATGTGAGGAAGCTTCTCTTTAACCAAGAAAAATTTATACTTGTTTCTTTTTGAACTAGGACCTGCAATTCAATTTCCCTACAGAATAATATACAAATATCATATATCTTTATGTCTTTTACTGATCATCTATCTATTTCTTTGCAACATAATATTTTTATAAACTGAAATTATATGTTTATGTTATAGACTTATGTGAGCATAAGATTTCAACTGCTGGGTTTTTTCTTCTGATTGAGTTAACACTACAATTAGTATTTCTGTACAATTGTGTATAAAGAAAGATTTTATTAGAATTCTATCACTTAACGACACGAATGAGGCTTTTTCTAAACACTTATTGCATACATTTGTGGATGAATGTTACTTTTTCCATAAACTCTATTCCAATATTTTTAAATTTATCTAAACACTAAGAAACTTTGTTTACATATATATGTGGGTGACTATTACAATGAGATTTTTATAGCAGTCACTCAATGATTTGAACTCCTTCCAAATTATTTGTCAAATTCATACTTTGGATTCTCACCTGAAGTTATTTTTTTTATAATGTTTCAAGTAACAAGTAGATATTGTCCTCCAGAGGCACCTGGGTGGCTCAGTTGGTTAAGCGTCTAACTTGGGGTCAGGTCATGATCTCTTAGTTTGTGAGTTCAAGCCCCACATTGGGCTCTGTGCTGACAGCTCAGAGCCTGGAACCTACTTCAGATTCTGTGTCTCTCCCTCTCTCTGCTCCTCCCCATGCTTATGCACTGTCTGTCTCTGTCTCTCAATAATAAATAAAAACGTTAAAAAGATTTTTTAAAAATATATTGTCCTCCAGTTATACTGCAAATATAAATTTTAGAAACTGCCTGACTTTCAAAAGTATTTGTTACTCATTCAAGTTACTTATTTCCTCATTTTTAAGAGGTACACCTATAAAAAGCTTTACCGAGACTTACAGAGTAATTATAAGATACATCTGAAAACTTTTTTCACTAAGAGGCACTTTACATAATATAATATATTAAGATAGGATTGGAAGCATTGAAATATCACTTATACCATTGCCAATATAATTCTTTGAAACATGTTCTTATCTATTAATATCTATATAGTATTTCATTCAATTTGTGGAAAGTGCCTATCACTTAACCTACTGAAAAGAATTAGTCCTGGGGCATCTGGGTGGCTCAGTCTGTTAAGTGTAGGACTTCAGCTCAGATCATGATCTCACAGTTTGTGGATTTGAGCCGTGCGTCAGGCTCTGTGCTGACAGCTCAGAGCCTGGAGCCTGTCTTCAGATTCTGTGTCTCCCTCTCTCTCTGACCCTCCTCTGCTCATGTTGTCTCTACCTCTCTCAAAAATAAATAAAATGTTTAAAAAAATTTTTAATGATAAAGAGAATTAGTCCTTATTGTGAAACCAATATTTTTTTTATTTTTCAATTCAGATAAACATGTTAATAAGCATTTCAAGCAGTATTATAAATACACTGAGAAATAAATTTTTCAGAATGTAATTTTAAAAGAAAGCTATTTTACTAGAAGCAGCCCTTTTGTTTTAAATAGCTGTATATTTAAAATAATTAGTCTGCATTTTAAGTTAAAATATTTTTAAATCTACATGCTGTTTCTAACTAACTTAAAATAATGCAAAGTGATCTGTATCAGTGATTATTAATTACTTATTTAAGAGAAATATGATAAAAAGAAAGCTTTTTCTTTGGTTAATATGTATAGCCTTGCATGTTGAACTCCAGTAATTGGCATTAGGGTAATTAAATAATTAATTTATTGATTATTAATTTATTAATAATTATTTATTGTTAATTTATTAATTAAACTAATGCCTAAAATAGGAACAGCTTGAGTAATGTAATAGACAAAAATATACTGCTGAAGATCATTCCTGGACCTAGCTTAAAATCTTATTTTTTATTAAAAAGAGATAAGAAATATTAAACATTTTCTAAGATAACGTAACATTAAGATTAACTACAATTAGAAGAAATAATTTATTGGGGCGCCTGGGTGGCTTAGTCGGTTAAGGGTCCGACTTTCGCTTAGGTCATGATCTCGCGGTTCGTGGGTTCGAGCCCGGCGTCGGGCTCTGTGCTGACTGCCAGCTCAGAGCCTGGAGCCTGTTTCAGTCTGTGACTCCCTCTCTCTCTGACCCTCCCCTGCTCACGCTGTCTCTCTCTCTCTCTCTCTCTCCTAGAAATAAAAAAAAATTTAAAAAAAGAAATTATTTTTTTTTAATTTTTTTTTCTTATTTATTTCTAGGAGAGAGAGAGAGACAGCGTGAGCAGGGGAGGGTCAGAGAGAGAGGGAGTCACAGACTGAAACAGGCTCCAGGCTCTGAGCTGGCAGTCAGCACAGAGCCCGACGCCGGGCTCGAACCCACGAACCGCGAGATCATGACCTAAGCGAAAGTCGGACCCTTAACCGACTAAGCCACCCAGGCGCCCCAGAAGAAATAATTTATAATGTGATATAATTTAATAGATTTTGAATAATGGAATTGAATAATGCTTAATACACCTAGGAAATATTGTGTAAGATATTGATTTGTGGGTTTAAGCGAGTATAAGTAAAAATGTTTGCTATTCCCAGACAACATTTAGTTATATTTAAATTAATGTGTCATTAAGCTGTACTGTTTTTGTGATTTGAAGATATTTTCTATTTAAATTAAAATCCTCTTGATTATTGAGACTATACCTATCAATATCTGTTCATCTCTCAAGAGCATTCCATCTTTCACAGAATTAACAGAAAATTCCCATTTTCTTAGCCCACTTTACCCAATATATTCAGTGTCTGAACAACCCAACATTTCTTGGGTTCTTGCTTAGCAGAAAGTAAAAGGCAAAACCAAACCGAACCAAAACAAACACCAGGAAGCCTTATTCGTTGTTTCTTTCTTTGAAACCATGGGAAGTTTTAGGGGCATCTGGGTGGCTCAGTCTGTTGAGCATCTGACTCTTGATTTCGACTCAGGTTATGACCTCATAGTCATGAGATGGAGCCACTTGTTAGGCTCTTGGCTGATTTGTGGGGCCTGCTTGAGAGTCTCCCTCTACCTCTGCTCTCCCTCACTCTCTGTCTTAAAAAAAAAAAAAAAAAGTTTTAATTGAAACCCTGGGAAGTTTGAAATCTCAGAGTAATGTTCTATAGTAAGGTGCTGGAGGAGTAAGCTGTCTTTTGTAAAGTAAGAGAGACTTCGTGGAAAGAAGTAAGTAAAGGAACCTCCAAGACACTATGAAGAGCATGCATGGATTTGAAGACGGGAAAGTTGAGCCATTTCCTTTCTACTTCATTGGTGGCAACATAAGATAAATAATAATAAAAACAATATCTTTGTTTTTGCAGCCGTCGTGAGCGCCATCCCTGTGCCAACCCTTGAAAGCGCCCAGTACCCAGGAATCCTTCCATCTCCCACGTGTGGATACCCCCACCCGCAGTTCACCCTCCGGCCTGTGCCATTCCCGACATTATCTGTGGACCGAGGTTTCGGAGCAGGAAAAAGTCAGTGTGATGCGTTTTCCTTTCTTTTTACAGAGAACAAATGAATAATAGCCAAGGATGCCTTGTTAAATGTATAGCATTTTGACATTATCATCCTGGGGAAAATTGACTTACCTCTGCCCTGGGCCACAATCAGAGCACAGTCAGTCCTTTGGATCCTACCACATGCTTTTAGACTGTTCCTCTAGGAGTCTTTCCGCAGTACACTCCACAGACAATATGGGAAGTTGTGGGGAAACAAACGTTAACTGGTCCAGTAAAACAACAAAGGGCCAGGTGCTTGAGATTAATACATTGTCAACTAGGAAGTTAGTAATCAAGTGACTAACTTCTAACATGTTCTTGCGTGTCTGTTGATTGTATTTAAAGGTGTCTCACTGATTCGTGATGAACCAGTATTTAGATGAATGCTTTAGCTTTCTTTAGTTAAATCAGTTAAGCAATCTCTTTTAATTTTTAAGTAATAATTGTTGGAGAAAAAGATTTCCAAAATAGTATTTAATTTGTTTTCATTTATGTGTCTTTCTGATTTTAATAAGATATAGTTGACGTCTAACATTATATAAATTTAAGGCATATAATGTGTTGATTTGAGACATTTATTTATTGCAAAATGATTATCACCATAAAGTTAGCTAATTCCCCCCTCATGTCACATAAGAATGGTTTCTTTTTGTGGTGAGAATGTTTTAAATATACTTTCTTAGCTTTCAAATATATAATACAATATTATTAGTTATAATCAGTATGCTGTACATTAGGTGCCCAGAACATAATCATCTTACGACTGGAAGTTTGTACTCTTTGACCAACATCTCTCTTTTTCCTCGGTTCCCCAGCCCCAGGTAGCTACCATTCTAGTCTCTCTCTCTCTCTCTCTTTTTTTTTTTATCAGTATGTCTTTTTGACTCTATATGTAAGTGATATCATACAGTATTTGTCTTTCTGTGCCTGATTTATTTCACTTAGTATAATGTCTTCAAGGTCTATCCAGATTGCTGCAAAAAAAAGTGTCCTTGTTTCTCAAAGCTGAATAATATTCCATTGTATATATGCCACATCTTCTTTAACCATTCATCCATTGATTGACACTTAGGTTGTTTCCATATCTTGGCTATTGTGAATAATGCTACAATGAGCATGGGCGTATGTCCATCTCTTAGAGATCCTGTTTTCATTTCCTTTGGATATATACCCAGAAGTGAGATTGCTGGATCATACAGTAATTCTATTTTTAATTTTTTAGGAATCTTTATACTGTTTTCCATAGTAGCTGCACCAATTTACGTTTTCACCAACAGTGCACTAGGGTTCTCTTTTCTCCACATCCTTGCCAACAATGATCTCTTGTCTTTTTGATGACAGCCATTCTAACAGGTATGAGGTGATATCTCATTGTGATTTTGATTTGCATTTCCCCGATGATTAGTAAGGTCAAATACCCTTTTCACATACTTGTTGACCTTTTGATGCCTTCTTCGGAAAAAATGTGTAATTTGTATGTCTTCTTTGGAAAAATGTGTATTCAGTTCTTCTGCACATTTTTAACCTAATTTTTTGCTATTGTTTTGCATGAATTTGTTATATATTTCAGATATTAACCACTTATCATATATGTGGTTTGCAGATATTTTCTCCCATCCCAAAAGTTGACTTTTCATTAGTTGATGCTTTTCTTTGCTGTATAGAAGCTTTTTAATTTGATGTAATCCCATCTGTTTCTTTTTGCTTTTGTTGCCTTTGCTTTTTGGTTTCAAATCCAAAAAGACATTGCCAAAACCATTGTCAAGGAGCTTATACTCTTTATTTTCTTCTAGGAGTTTTACAGTTTTAGGTTTTAAGTTCAAGTCTTTGAAACATTTGAGTTCATTTTTGTGTACAGTGTAAGAAACTCAGTTTCATTCTTTTGCATGTGGCAATTCAGTTTTCTCAGTGCCATTTACTGAAGACACTATTGCCCTACTGTATAGTCTTAGCTCTTTGGCATAAAGTAATTGATCATATATGCATGGGTTTATTTCCAAGCTCTTCATTCTGTTCCACTAATATGTGTGCCTGGTTTTATGCCTATACCATACTGTTTGACTATTAGAGCCTTGTAATGTAGTTTGAAATCAGAAAGTGTGATACCTCCAGCTTGCTCTTCTTTAACAATATTGCTATGGGTTTTGGGGATCTTTTGTACTTCCATTCACATTTTGGGACTGCTTATTCTATTTCTGTGAAAAATGCCATTGGAATTTTGATAGAATTGCATTGAATCTTTAGATCACTTTGGGCAGTACAGAAATTTTAATAATATTAGTCCTTTCAAACCATGAGCATGGACTGGCTTTCTTTTTATTTACGTCTTCTTCAATTTGTTTTGTCAATGTCTTATAGTTCTCAGTGTACAGATCTGTTACTTCCTTGGTTAAATTTATTCCTAAGTGCTTTCTTTCTTTTTGATACAACTGTAAATGAAATTGTTTTCTTAATTTCTCTTTCTGATAGCTCATTGTTAGCTTATAGAAATGCAACTGATTTTTATATATTGATTTTATATCCTAAGAGTAGTATTTCATTTGTTTTAAGGACAGTAGATATGGAGAGATACTCTCAATCTATTATATACACCCTGGTGGTTTCTCCTATACCATTTGACTTTTTTTCTTCAAGCACAGCATTTTAAAATCGATTTTATGGCTTTCTTCCCTTAGTTAGGAACAGGTGACTCAGCAGCTCATGTGAGATAGGATGTTTTGTAATAGATAAGATGGTAACAGCAATAAAATATATTTGTGAGGTAAGCTATATTTTTTCCAACCCAACAGGGACAGCTCTAAGAAATCATAAATTGTCTAGATGTAGCAAGGTTAGAATTAAAAGGCATCAAAAATCTGCCAAGAGAGAATTAGATTTATTTTCCCTTTTCTCACTGCACATCATGTCTACAGAATAGAGTTGTGTGCAAAAACTCAAGGAAAAAGTAGTTTCCCAAACCATATTGAAGGGGATTAAATGAGGAAGATATGGGAAGTCTAGGAACCAAAAATTGCCAAATCCCAGGATAAGTAGGGCAATGATTCCAAAGAATTCAGAGGCCTCAAGTCCCTGCTTCTGCTTCTGAAATGAACTCTCCCCAGCAAGAAAGAGAAGATTATAGTGTTAGTCTAGTTTTTCTCTCATCATATCACCATGTAGTGTTTTCTTTGGATTTCATCTATATTCTCTGACTTTAAAAGGAAGTGTGAGAAGAATGTGTAGAATAACCTTTATCTCTTCACCACAGTGAGACAAAAACAAGTCAAAGTTCTCTTCTTTTTTTTTTAAAGAAATTAGCCATTTTATTTTATTCATGATGTGTTCCTATAGTTTCTTTTTCTCTTTTAAAGACATGGTCTCCTTCTGAGGATTCAGCATCCCATTTACTCTTTCCTTTTTCTCTTGATTTGTTGCAACATGCAAGCCTGCTTCACTGAATCACAGGGATAATCATTCCAAAAGTTAAATGTCAATGAAAACAAAAATAATATATAATCTGGTATAGTTTTTCTCCTTTCCCCACTGGCCAAAATAAGTTACATGGAGAAGCTCAATACCAATAGGATAGAGGTATATATTCATGAACTAGAGAATTCACAGGAGAAGGGAGGGAAGGGTGAATTGTGAAAAAATAATACAATCTACGACAGATTACTGTTCACCAGGAGCACTTGGTGTGTGTCACCATTTCTTATCGTAGAGTCTGTGTTTCAGATTTTCCTACAGTGTATGTACTCATTTCTTAGGCTTCCTTAATAAGGGACCATGAGCTAGGTGGTTTAAAATGATAGAAATTTATTCTCCCGTAGCTCCTGAGCTAGAACTCCAAAATCAAGGTGTTGTCAAGGTTATGTTCCCTCCCAAGGCTCTAGGGACGGATCCATCTTTGCCTTTTCCAGTTTCTAGTAGTGCCGGTATCTCTTGGCTTATGTAACTCCAATATCTGCCTCCCTCACATGGCTGTCTTCCCTCTGCCTGAAGAGATGGTATAGACCCAGACCTCTAAGGAAATGAATATTTGAGGGCCAGAGGGCAGACTTTTATGAATAGAATTGTGTCTCTCAAAAAGATATGTTGAAGTTCTAACCTCCAATACTTGTGAATGAGCCGTTATTTAGAAATAGGATCTTTTCAGATGTTATCAAGCTAAGGTGAGGTCATGCTTAATTAGGGTGAGTCCTAATCCAATATGGTTTGTATCCTTATAAGAGAAGGGGCTCAGACACACAGGGAGAAGATGGCCACGTGGTAACAGAGATTGGAGTGATGTATTCCAAGCCAAAGAACAATAAGTGAACTATGATAAAATGTGTTTTTATTTGTCCTTAATGACTACAGATTTGTTTATATTTGTGGTTAGAGTCTCATGTACCACTCTGGTGCAGGACTTTGATAGTGGAGCAGGCTGTATATGTGGGGACAGAGGGTACCTTTGTACCTTTCACTCAGTTTTGCTATGAATCAAAATGCTTTTACAAAATAAAGTCTACTAGATATAAATGAATGAATGAATGAAATAAAGAAAAATTAGTCTCTTTAATAATTTTTTAAATCTTGTTAATTTATTTTAAGGTAAGGATTATTAAATAAGGGTAATTAGATAACTATAATACATAATATAAATATAAAATATATAACATAACTATTATATTAAGTTATATAAAAAAGGATTCCTAACAGAGTGCTTAGCTTAGTAATTTTTGAACTTGCTCCTAGATCAAAAGGCATGGACATACCACTCCTGGCCAAGATATCACAGGTTTTTAAAATATATAGTCAGTAATACAGTAAATAATTTTTGAGCAAGAGGAATGTGCAGTGCAAAACGAATAGGAAATAGATATGTTTCCAAGTGATTACTTAGAAAAGAAAAAATATATAACCACCCTCTTTTCTAGGAAACTAAATATTCTCTAAATCACTGTCAGAACCAGTTAACTTGCAGCCATTCTGTATCGGTTTCTAAATGCCTTGGAGAACACTAAACATCCGTGTTCTTTCTCAAGCAGAAAACATTTCATGACTCTGGCTGGAGATGTCTTATTAGTCACCTTGAGAAACAAGAAGTCACACGGAGGAAAAGAAAAATTTGTGCCAAATGGGGAGACTCTCCTTCCTCAAAGTTATCTGAAAGAACTTTGAGTTGCACAAGAAATGAATCACTAAAACTCTGCCCCAAAAGATCACGTGCTTTCTGAACTCAAAAATAAAGCTGAATTTCTCTCCTACCAGAAGGAAAAGAAAAATATAGGCTATAGCACATTTGCATTACACACATTTGGTGATCCATTGGTAAAGATTTATATATAGTTGTGACAGGCAAATATCTCCTCTTCCTGCTAATAAACTGTAGTACTGCTCTTAGCTTCAGTAGGCAAACTGTCCCTGGGAAAGAAGAAATGGAGCAATATTTTGAAAACTTCAACCAGTAGATAGTCTTGAGGCCCTGTTTCTACAAGTCACTATAAAATTGGTGCCCCCATTTTCTCATCTTTGAAACAGGTAGATACTAGAGATTAGATGCTTTTTTAAACCTTCCCTTTTAGTTTGTGTATTGTCTTTGTTAATGAGAAGGCTGGTCAGCTTCACCCATTTTATTTTCCTGTGCCAGCTCTCTTCCAAGATGGAAATCAAATAACTAATGAGACTTGACCTAGATAAAATCACAGACACAACGGAGTTAATGAATCTTTCTCTAGGGTCTTTGCAAGAATCCACCCTGTGAGGATCTGGGGTTACTCAGGAATATTGCATGACGGTGCTCTGAGATTAATGTGGGAATTGGGTTCCTTAAGCATTCATGTCTCAAAGTCTCTGCGTGGAGTTATTGGTGTGCTACATTTCTTTCAAATATTGCAATTTTAGATAGAATAAAAATCCTTATTTCCATTTTTACAATATTTTTGCCACTCTGTAGCAATTATTTCTGTGTTGACATTAATTATTATAAAGTGCCTTGAAATTTGACTCTGCTGTGTAATTGTATGCTATTTGTACAATGCATCCCCACTACTTCATCATTGGAAAACAAGTACCTTGCTAGCACATATGTGATTCTCACTTTACTTTCTGAATTGCAGGAAGACTGCACTTTCGTGGGCAAAGGGAGGTTTTCTTTACTTTCAGAGCTCTTTGCACATCTAAATATCACATCACTGAGCCAGTTTGTTTCACACAGGTGTCCTGGGCTGGCTCTTGATCTGGCCAGATGGGTTCATCTGACATGAGGGCTTTTCTCCTGTGGAGCCATTGCTATTGCATTTAAGAGTTTTGACTGCCTCAAATGTCAACCAGTTCTGAAAAGCATTTTTCTTGCTCCACATAAAATATAGTAATTATGAATTGTCTGTGGAAAATCTGTACTTTGCCCATTGCACTAGATATTAAGCAAACATCATTTTTTAGCAAAACTGAATTAAGGACTATTAATTCATAGTCCCTTATGAATTAGTGATGCATTCTGTCTCTTGTTCCCACCTAACACATTAGATTAGATACTTCCCCTTTCACAATGGATGGTGCTAGGGATTGGTTTCCCCAAAGATCGTGTCCATCTTTGTTGGAGCTACTGTTGCTTCCCTGAGATGTGTTCCCAGTGTGAATCATGGTCACCACCTGAAGACCTGGGGATGGAAGATGGGGCATATGGAGAATCTATAATTTTAGAGATGCCAATGAGCAATGCCATTAAAGAGAATAGGAATGGGAGTGGCCCCAGAACATTTCACGATGTCATCAAAATTCCTGTGAAGCCTGGGGATTTTGAGAAACTAAATTTTAGAAAACTAAAAAAGTACATGCAAATTTTATCAAACTTAATGTCACAATAATATTTTAACATAGACCTTTTCTATTTCAAAAATGTAGAAGCAATAGAACAGGAAACTATAAAGGACAAAATAAAGCAGCATGCCACACAATATATTATTATTTCTTCAATTGCTAAGGCAGTTCTTAAAATATGATATGGATTTATTATAATCCATCTTCAATAGAATTACTTACAGCAGATTTTTAAGGAAAATTATGAAATTTCTTTCCCTGGAAGATACGGACCTGCAATAAACACTAGCTCATTTGTGATGTAGACGGATCCAGTTCTGGGCTCCTACAGCTGTTTCTCTCAGATCTAAAGCTAAGAGATACTGTATTTTTATTCACATATTGAACATCGGTCATTTTCTCCATTAGGTTAAATACGAGTCCAGAGTAAAATCAGCATAATTATTTTTGTCTCTAAAACTATCCTGTCAACCATCTAGTTACAGTTTTTGAGTTTTTATTTATTTAATTGTTTGTAATCTCTACACCCAACATGGGGCTCAAACTCAGGACCCAGAGATCGAGTCACATGCCCTTCCACCTGAGCCAGCCAGGTGCCCCTGAGAATATGAAGGAAAGAGAAACAAGTGTTCTTGTATTCAGGAGGGCTGTGTAATTTGAATACAAGAACACCTGTTTCTCTCTCTTTTATATTTTATTTTTAAGTAATATCTACATCCAATATTAGGCTCAAACTCACGATCCTGAGATCAAGAGTCACATACTCAGGGTGCCTGGGTGGTTCAGTTGGTTAAGCGTCCGACTCTGCTCAGGTCATGATCTCACGGTTAGTGGGTTCGCGTCCTGTGTCGGGCTCTGTGCTGACAGCCAACTCGGAGCTTGGAGCCTGTTTCAGATTCTGTGTTTCTCTCTCTCTCTAACCCTCCCCTGTTCACACTGTCTCCCTCTCTCTCAGAAATAAATAAAACATAGGAACACCTGGGTGGCTCAGTCGGTTGAGCGACCGGCTTTGGGTCAGGTCATGATCTCATGGTTTGTGGTTTTGAGCCCTGCGTCGGGCTCTGTGCTGACAGCTCAGAGCCTGGAGCCTGTCTTCAGATTCTGTGTCTCCCTCTCTCTCTGCCCCTCCCCCATTCATGCTCTGTTTCTGTCTCAATAATAAACATTAAAACAAGTAAATAAATAAAACATTTAAAATTTTAAAACAAAGTCACATACTCTACTGACTAAACCAGCCAGGTGCCCCTTTCTCCTTTATGGTCCTACAAGCAATTTAGCTCCTAATTAACACCTACCTGAAGTCTCCATCCTATCTGCCCTTTTGTGAGCATCCACATAACCAAGGATTTGCCTTAATGTTTTCCTTCCAGCCACACCTTTTAACCTTGATATTTTGCATGCATGTGCCCCTCCCCTCCATGATAGGACTTCCTAGCCTAAAGAGGAAGCACTTCTCCTCAAACTCCTCTTATCCCCAGGGTTCTATCCAGTTTGCTGTCTTGATTACATTTTCTTTGAAGAAATGTTTTATCAAGACTGCCTGTTTACTAGCTCTGGTTGCTTTATGGCTACATCCTGTCCTCAGCCAATCGTATGTTTCCCCTGCCTCTATCTTTGAATGGGGTAAGCCTGGAGGCTTCTCAGTGACCCAGAAGACCTCTAACCTTTCTGAATATAGAAAAATGTGTGTTAATATCAAATACCCTCTGAAGACACATTTCACTTCTGCATATCTTTAAAATAATGTCTTGATCTTTGGTATTTTTAATCTCTACTCCCTTCAGCATTATCAAATTTTCTTTCTAGCTCCTCTGCCCTTTGCTGACCTCACTGAGCCTCCCAGAAAGTTGTCTCAAAATTATCCCACAAACTAATTATCTTGAAATATTTCCTGGTTAAAAATTCTCTTTCAAATGAGATATTATCTCCTATCACTGCATTTTCCCCACTTACCCAATAGAACATTCTTTAAAAATAAGTCATCAGAAATACTCTTATTTCATCAACCTTATACCTCCTATCCAGCTCTTTTCATTTATAGTTTCACCTGGACCTGCTGACTTTGAACATGAATGGTAAAATCAAGTCACAGTGTCTTAGCCTAAGAAACTGTCTTACCAATATGTTAGTCCGACTCAACTGTGTTTTCTGGATAAAAGGTGTGTCTCTGTACATAAAACTGTCCAAATACCCAAAAGCAGTTGCAAATGACTATGTGAAACATCTTCAACTATAGTAATCTGGCTGAAAATTGCAAGGTTTGCTGCCAAAGAGGAAAAATTATAATCCTGCATTCAGGCAACTTGTTCCAGCAAAGTCATCTCTCATATAACTTTTTAGCTGGATATGCTTCTCTTTTATTATGAAAGACAATGATAGTGGCTATCATTTGTATGATTTTATTAGCAATGCCTTGAACACCTGGTTACTGATTTGTGTGACAGTTGACATGGCATGTTTAAATTGCAGAAAAAATTGGCATATTGGCTGGTAGATAATAATGCAGCTGTAGCTGGGTTTGGGATATTGAAATTCACTGGCATTGCTCCTTATGAAAGGAGAAATAACTCTTTTTTCTTGCTACATCACTTATGATTACAGGGCCCCACTAGTTCAGGCAATAGAGTCAATGCTGTGTATATTTTACTATGCTTTCTGCAAGATAGAGCCCTGCCCCGCTGGATCTATTTCCACTGTTTAAAGGGGAGGGACTATTATATCCCAGAAATTATGAAGGAAGAGGAAGGAGAATGTTTTTGTTTTGTTTTGTTTTGTTTTAAATATTTTATTTATTTCTAGGAGAGAGAGAGAGAGACAGTGTGAGTAGGGGAGGGTCAGAGAGAGAGGGAGTCACAGACTGAAACAGGCTCCAGGCTCTGAGCTGGCAGTCTGCACAGAGCCCGACGCGGGGCTCGAACCCACGAACCGCGAGATCATGACCTAAGCGAAAGTCGGACGCTTAACCGACTAAGCCACCCAGGCGCCCCGGAAGGAGAATGTTTTTAACTTGAAGAAAAGATTGTCCAGATCCAGATCTTTCTCTGACTTTGACTCGGAGGCCCTCCAGCTAATTTAGGGAAAGCAAGCTCTGTCCTGGAATAATGAATGGCTTTTCTTGTCTCCATTGCAGCAGTGAGTGAAGGACCAGCCACCCAGCAGCCACCCATGTTGCCCCCAGCACAGCCTGAGCATCCCAGCAGTGAGGAGGCACCAAGCAGAACCATCCCCACGGCCTGTGTTCGACCAACTCACCCACTCCGCAGCTTTGCTAACCCTTTGCTACCTCCACCAATGAGTGCAATAGAACCGAAAGTCCCTTACACACCACTGTTGTCTCAGCAAGGTAAAGTGCTCATTTGTTCACATTTAAATAATTGTTATCCTTGGTGCCTCTACTTAAACACAGGAGGGTTCCTGAGAAGGCCAGGTGCAATATACCTGTTTGCCACTGATTGCATGCCCAGTATGCTCCTCTCTGTTACTGGTGTTTATAGAGCAGTTCTTAAGTACCTGCCTTGGCAAACAACTGGATTGTTGTAGGTGCCCTTTGTTCCTTCGAAAAGTTGTTCATTAATCCTAAACACTGTTGGACAATTTTCTAGTTCTTTAGTCTGCCACATGGATCCTAGAATTTAGGGCTAGACTCCAAGACTAGAGGTAAAGGTGCAAAGCTCTGAAAACCCACTTTTTAGAGAAAGACAAATAATCCCATAACTCTGCTTTAGGCCTTTTAGTAGTCATCTTCTGGAAGTTCTTATGTCACAGTTCCAGGGCTGGAAAGGAGTGTTAGAACAAGGGTAGAGTCCAACTTCTTAATTTTACAAATAAAAAACAAAAATTTAGATAGCAAATAGCATCTCTATGGTGCCTATGATATTGTGCTTTATGAGAAATACATATTTGGTCATTCAGGTGATCAAAATATATTTCTCGTATACATTAGGTCTTCCTCCACAGTTTCTGGGCACTCTGGAGCTCATAGCTCCCCCAAAACCTTAGGATTTCCTTAGTGATAAGGAGATACAGGTGTCTTTTATTATGTTGATTAACATGACTTTTTTTTTTTTTTAATGAACATGACTTTTGGATACCCCCCACCAAGGGTGTGGCCTGGTTGCCAGGAAAACCAACCACATAATTAGAGCGTTGGAACTTTCAGTCTCACCCCCAGCCTCGTAAAAGGAGAGAGATGCTGAGGTGGAATCTACCAATGACCAATGACTCAGTCAATCATGACTATACAATGACGCTTCAGTAAAAATCTAAGAGGACAGGTTTGGAGAGCTTCCATGTTGGTTTACATGTGAAGATTTGGGGAGAATGATGTGACTGGAGAGGGCATGGAACTTCCATGCTCTTTCTCCAGACCTCATTCTATGTATCTCTTCATCTGGCTGTTGGTTTGTATCCTTTATCATATCCTTTAAAAACTGACAAGCGTGTTTGTCTGAATTCTGTGAGCCACTCTAGCAAATTAATCAAACCTAAGAAGGAAGTCGTTGGAATCACCTGTAGCCGGTAGCTCAGAAGCACAGATTGCAGCCTGTAGCTTGTGACTGGCATCTGAAGTCAGGGGTGGGAGGCAGTCTTATATGGCTGAATTCTTAACCTGTGGAATCTGATACTATTTCTGGATTTATCATGGCAGAACTGAGTTGAATTCTTAGGCACTCTGCTGGTGCCTGAGAATTGGTTGGTGTTGGTGGGGGGACCCCATCCCTCCCTGCCACACACATACATCCAACACTGGAATTAGGGAAAACCAACCTTCACGCATGCCTTTCTAAGAAAATCAATCGGCATAGATGACAACCAAAGTCCCCAATTCCCAATGCAGTGTTCAATTGATCACTTCATCTGGCATCCTGTAGTACTAATCCAGGGTTCCTTTTTGATTCTCTTAGGGATTAAGGGAGAGAAGGGAGGGCAAAGAGGGAAAGAAGAAGTGGAAGGAGGAAAGGGAGTAGAAGGAGAAGAAAGAGGAAGATCAAGAGATAAGTGGATGAAAATAGGCCAATACACAGATACGTAGACACATAAAGGTAAAGAACTATGTAGTGCTTAAAATTATTTGAACCATTAGAATAATTCTTAACGGCCCCAATATATCAAGCGTAAGAGAGTAAAGTTCAATGGTTCCAAGTAAATTGAGGTGACCCCCTTATTAGACACTGGACTGACCAATCTGCTATTCAGCAAATAGGTTTAAGTTTCTGTTACTCAGATCCATACCTTTGGTAATTGTAGTCACTGCATTAGTTTATAAGCCTCATGATGACTGCAAAACTAGAAAAAAATACTATTGAGGTTATGACCCTAATATTTATATTAAGAATATATCTTGTTCCTGGTACCATATAAATTGATTTGTGTTCACGCCCTCTGGTTTTCTCCCTTTCCTGTGGTATGTGGTATAGATGCTTAGCTACCACACCCTGGGAGGTGGGTTGGAGCACAGGAAGGATTCCATCCCTTGGGATGCATGGATGAGGTCTTCTCTGACATATAGGCTCAATGGAGGTTGTGACTTCATTTCACAGGAAATAGCTCTTATAACCCAAAAGAAGCCCACACTAGGATTTAAAGCAGATCTGTATTGCCCAAACCCCTCTCCCTATCCCCCATATCAATATACTCCATGCACATTATGGGGAGAGTCTGCTACTTTATAGTACCCTGAAACTATGAGGTCTTTGCCAATTGAGCCAAGGACGAGTATGAAGCAGGAGAATTCACTTAATGAAATTCCTGCGTCAAGAGCACACTGACTGGTGATTTCTGATCGCACAGTTTCCTACTATTGTGCCAACCAAGAGAATAGACCTTGGAAGTGACTGGTGTTCAGGGTAGAGAGCAGGTAAACTGCAACGACTAACAATAAGTAACTCTTTACTGAACATGTGCTATATGTCTGGCATGCTTCTGAAGACTTGTAACAGCACATTTGATCCCCAGAACAACTTTGTGAGGTAGCTGCTTTCTTAACACCATTTCATCGATACGGAAATTGTGACACAGAAAATTTGAGTAACATAGTTAAATCCATACAATTACTGAATGATGAATTTTCTCCCATTCTCCCAGGGAATTTTTTTTCCCTGACTACAGAAAGCATGAGTTCTGAAATTTTAGGAACTCATTTGTACCTCTTAGCTTGTGCCTAACTTACTTAATGACAAAAGCAAAGATAATTTTTAAAAAAACTTATTACATCAAACCAGGCCAAAACTGCTAAAAAGAAAAAACATGAAAAACATCTGAAATAATTTTGAGTTGAGGAATACCAATTCCTCATAAGCCTTCTCTGCTCACATTGTAATGAGGAAACATATGAGGTTTGACTGTTATGCAAAAGAATGCCAATTTTATAACATCAAAAAATTAATGTGCCAAAGCACTTTATAGTGTTAACTATTCTCTATAGGTGGAAGTAAAGATCAACTAAGTAAAGAATCACAGTGAAAAGGAGATGATAATAAAATTCTGAAGTCTATTTCACATGAAAATTTACTGTGGCAGAATTATTTGCCTTGGAATAACAATATTTGGAAGTCAACCCATGCTCCAGAGATCTTTGGTAACAAAGAATCTTAACTTTAGAAAGAACATCTGACAACTGACAGAATAAAGCAATGGCAGTGTTATTTACTTGTTATTGTTTTCTTCCTGTTACAATAATACCAAAGCAACCTTAAACAAAGTCTGACACAATGTAGCATAAATGAGTGTATTATGTCTTTAAAAGATGGAAAATAGAGTCCTTTCTGCTTTCTCTACACCTCTTCTCTCATATAATAAGCATATCTGAAGAACCATTCTCTGATCTAATGCCATGCAGGCAAGATCTCGTTTCCTTTTATTTCCATTGTACACTTGAGAGCCTTCTTTTTTTCTTAAACCATTGTTCTTGTTTTTATTGAAAAGATTTCTTAAACACCATCTTTTCTTTCATATTTTCCAATATCTCTGAGTTTGGGGTTGATTTTATATTTTCATGGTTCTCCTTTAAATGCCACCCTCCTCCCCCCTCACCTTGAGGCATCACGTTGGAATTATTAAATGCCTTTCCTTTTCATGTTTCTCCTTCATTGTCTCCCTGTGATTCCTGTTCATTTCATAATGTCTTACCTCATGATTTTCAAATAAGTTCTCCTTGCATTGCTCCTGACACATGGTAAATAGTATGCTTTTAAGAAAGGGCTGATGTTTACTTATTCTAATAGAAAAAGAAAATTAGCAGACTGACAAATGTATTAGCTGTGACATTAACTACATGCTTCTTAGCCTAAAAGATGAAATACTTAGAGCTTTCAACAAATTTTAATTCTAAGAAAATCATTACTTTAGTCAAACTGATTGATGAAGTAAAGCCGTTTTCTTGTCGGCTTAAAAAAACACCTCAAATAATTTTACTCTGAATTTCACAATAAAGGACTGCGTAATTTCTAATGAATTTATCTTTACTTACTGCGGGTAATTACCTCAGAATATGGTAATGTGAGGCTTTGCTATAATTTTTAAAGATCACACCAAATGAGAAGCTCCTTCTGCTTTGAAACCATTGAATTTAGGATCAGTGAAGAAGTTCCTTCCCTACTCAGATTCCTGGGTGTGTTTTTTTAAAGGCAGCCTCATTGATCTGTGCCTCAGTTTGACTTCCATTAAGGCATGTGGAGCTGTATTTGCAGGATGCGAAGGATAGGGCAGCACATGCTATGATGAAGACTATGAGTAACCATCTCACAGAGTTGAGGAGACTTCTGCAGTATTTTTATGAGTGGTAATTAGAAAGTCATCTTGTTGTCATAACGACTGAAATTCTGCCTACCTGAAAACACCAATTCATTCTTCCCTTTTCCCCTCCACCTGCCGAGTTAGAAATTTAGCTTAGTAGGCTAGAGTGTTTTATGGCATTTCTTAAAATTTCATCATCACCTCATGATAAAGTGGTTCCGTTGTTTTAATGCTTCACAGTGAATAAGTGTGTGGTCTTGACGCATTTCAGGGAGGCTGCAATCACTGCACTTTGCAAATCACAGGTGTGGACATGTAAGTGATTTGGCTTCGTCCCCTTTCAGGTTAAATAGAAAATGTTTGATGGAGTGTTGCGCTTATGGCATTATAGATCTGACATAAATTCTACAAAAGGCCAAGACAGGGTGTGTGTGTTTTTCTTCACTAGTGAAAATTCCTTTTAGCTGTGAAATGATCAGCTGCACTTTAAATGAACCTGGATTAGGAGACCATTTGTCTTCCAAGGCTGTAATTCTAAAGAGAAAGAAAATGTGACCTCTTAAATGGTGACTTTTATACTAAATGGTAACTGCTTTACAACATTAGCCC